AGGTGACCCAGCCCTGCCCCACGTCTGCAGCAGGTCCTCCCTTGTCCCTCAAGATGTTCCAGAGTCATACCAGGATGTTCCTTCTCCCTTGACATGCTCCAGCGCTGTAGGAGGATGTCCCTTGCCCCCAAGGATGTCCCAGACCCACAGCAGGACATCCTTCATTCCCTGAGATGCCCTAGCTCCGTTGTCCCCCAAGATGCCCCAGTCCTACCCTTGGTGGTACCTCCTTCATCTCCCAAGATGTCCCAGACCCACAGTGGGACTTCCCCTGGTCCCTGAGATGCCCCAGATCCTTCCCTCAGGGGGACATCGCCGTGGGGCTGAGACATCCCCAGCACCAGCCAGGGCCACTCCCCAGTTCCCTTCTTCTGCGGGTCCAGCTCAACTATCGTCACCGTCTTCTCCAACCTCATCCCTTCAGGCTGCAGAGAGGAGAGACCAACGCTAAAGGTTGGGCTGGGTTTGGGTCCATCCCTTTCCCAACCTCTCCAGGTTGTCCAGAAAAGGTGTCCCAGTGTAAACCAGCACCCCCAGGTCACGGAGCAAACTGGGAGACCCCCAGAAGACCACACTTTGAGCATCCTGGGAGGAGGATCCTTCATCCCTGGGTCCCACCACCAGGATGAAAGTGAAGCCGGGGCTGTCTCAGGGCTGGGGACATCTGAGGGACGGAGGTGGCACCGGGTGGTGGAGACACTACTCACCCCGACTTTCAGCTTCTTCTTGACGCCGTCAGCCACGAAGCTGCCGCGGACGGCCGCCTTCACCTCGATGTCGTGCAGCCCCAGCTGCAGGGGCACGATGACGAAGGGCACGGCCCACGACGACTGGCCCTTCAGCTTGAGGATCTGCTGGTAGCGCGTCTTGGAGGTGGAGGCACTGCAGACGGCCGGGTTGTGCATCAGCTCCACGCGTACCTGTGGGGCGTGGAGATGTTGGCCGTGGGGCTCAGGTGACCTCCCAGAAACCCGGGTGTAGGTCCCTCACCGACCGTGATATCGTGTGTCCTGTAGTTGTAGAGGACGGCGCGGATCTCCACTTGCTCGTTCCTCACCACGGAGTAGGGCAGGCGCAGGTCGATGAAGAACTCCTTCATCACCGTGATCTCGTAGGGGTCAGCCACGCACAGCCCTGCAGGGTGGCACCCCAGGGACACAGGGTTCAGGCTTATGGGCTCCTGGGGACATCCCCAAGGCTTTTGGAGATCCCTCAAGCCCCATGGAGTCCTCCTGAGGCTTAGGAGATCCTTCAAGTCCCATGGACTACCACCAAGCTTTGGGGGATCTCCCCAAAGTCTGGAGCACCTCTCCAGTGGTACACACCCCTCTAAGATCTTGGAGATCCCTCAAACCCCCAAGGAAACCCACCAGGCTTTAAGGGACCCTTTGAGTCCCAGGGACCACTCCAAAAGTTTGAGGGATTCCTTTGAACCCCAGGGCCACCTTCCTACTCTGTCACGTACCCTTGGTCTGCGAGAGGCTGACGGCCAGGACCTCCCACGTGGTGATGGAGTCCTTCAGGTACACGGGCAGAGTCTTCGTGGAGATGCTGGAGAGGACGGGAATGACCCAGGAGGGTCATAACCAGCCCCGACCAGGCTGGGGAGGTGCAACCAGCCACCAAGTCGGGGTGGGGGGTCACGGCTGGTCCTCAAGCTAGATCAGGGGGTTGTAGATGGACCAAGGTGTCACAGCTGGTCCCAAAGCAGCACCAGGGGGTCAAAGATGGCCCTTGTCTGGACTTGGAGGGGGATCATGGGTGGTCTCCAGACTGGGCAAGGCAGTGTCTGGAGCTGGGCAGGGAGGAGGTAACGATCCCCAGGTTGAGCCGTGGGGTGGAGGAGTGGTGGGACAAGGGCACGGGGCTCACCCCAGCTCATTGGGCGGCTCCTTCAGCTGCTCCACCTGCCACAGCCAGCTCTCTGGGAAGAGACTCCGGGAGGTGATGTCCTCAGCATCCAGGAAACCATCGTCTGCCTCACCTGGGGGGCGTAGTGTCCCTCTCGACCGTGACCTCAGGAGCCCAGCCCCTGAGTGGAGCCAGTATCACCCCCGACATCATCCAAGCACCACCCTTGATTTAGCCCAAGTGTCGTCTATGCATCACCCAACTTTCACCCAAGCGTCGCCCAAGGACAGCGCAAGCAATGCTTGAGGTTCACCTGACCTTCAGCCAAGCATCTCCTGACCGTCACCCAAGCTTTGCCCAAGAACAGGGCAAGCAATGCTTTGGGTTCACCTGACCTTCACCCAAGCATCAACCAAGTGTCACCCAAGGATAGCGCGAGCAATGCTTGAGGTTCACCTGACCTTCACCCAAGCGTCTCCTGACCTTCACCCAAGCTTTGCCCAAGGATAGTGCAAGGAACATCTGAGGTTCACCTGATCTTCACCCAAGCTCCACCCCACCACTGCCCAGCACTTACTTCGAGCCAGCTCGAGGTGGAACTCGCGCTGCTTCTGGTCGCGGATGCCCTTGATGTAGTTGCAGCAGTCGAGGAACGCCCGGACGCAGGCAGCGCCATCTTGGATGTAGTTGGTCCTCTGCTGGCAGCTGTGGCCCATGGGGTTGTCCTTCATGCCGTCCTCACAGCACTTGCGCAGCGCCTTGTTCGTGTACTCGGCCGCTGCCGGCACCGAGGAACCCAACTGGCACCCGGTCCCAAAGTCCCTGGTCTGAGGGGCGTCGGGGACATGGGACAGTCTGGTGTCCTTTGAGATGTGGGGTGCTGTGGTATCACCGGGGACATGGGACACCTTGGTGACCCTCAGGGACATGGGACGCTGGTGTTGAGTGGGAGATGGGACACGCTGGTGACCCTCCAGGACATGGGACACTCTGGTGTCTCTCAAGGACCTGGGACACTTTGGAATCCTCATGAACACGAGACACTCTGGAATCCTCATGAACATAGGACACTCTGGTGTCCCTTGAGGACTTGGGACACCTGGGCATCTTCAGGGACATGGGACACTCTGGTGTCCTTTGAGACACAGGACACTGGTGTTGAATGGGACATGGGATGCTCTGGTGTCCCTCAAGGACCTGGGACACTTTGGAGTCCTCATGGACATGGGACACCTGAGCATCTTCAGGGACATGGGACACTCTGGTGTCCTTTGGGATGTGGGGTGCTGTGGCATCACCAGGGACATGAGACACGCTGGTGTCCCTCAAGGACCTGGGACGCTCTGGTGTTGACTGGGAGATGGGACACGGGTGTTGACTGGGAGATGAGATGCTCCGGTGTCCCTCAGGAACCCAGGACACTTGGGCATCTTCAGGGACATGGGACAACCTGCTGTCCCCAGGGGCACAGGACATTCCACCATTCATGGGGACATCGGCCACCTCAGTGCCACCCACCCTTGTTGCCTTTGTACTCGATGAGCTGCAGCGAGCGGCGCTTGCGTGTCGCCGGCCGGGGACATTGGACCTCTGGGGACGGAGAGGACACAGGTCAGGACCCCCCAGCGTCACAGCCCCACACCCTGGTGTCACTTCTTGACATCACCCCAAAGCTCAGGAGACCCATCCCCGAGGTGTTCTGCTACCCCGTCCTTCAAGTGCCACGTCCCCGAAGTGTCACCCACCCCATCCCTGAAGTGCCAACCCAGGTTGTCCCCGTCCCCGTCCCCTACCCGCCCGTTGTGGCGTGGTGATCTGCACGTTGGTGGTCAGGCTGAGACCAGCGTCAGCGAAGACCCCCACGTTGTCCCTCCCGCTGCCCGGGGTACAGCCGATGTCGCTCTTCTCCACCGTGTCCCACACCTGTGACCAAGAGGGGACAGTCATGACAGCCAATGCCACCGCCTGGGGACAATGGGGACACCGGGGACACGGGCGCCCACCTTGGGCTGGGTGAGCTTGTTCTTCTTGTTGAGGACGAAGACGCCCTTGTCCACAGCCACCAGCCCCACGTGGGCGTTGTGGTCGCCCTCGATGCGCAGCCGCATGGGCGTCCCCGGCTCCTGCACCCGGTTGTCAGCCTCCGTCGCGCCCTTCACCACCAGCTGCCGGGGACACGGGGTGGGGTGGGGAGTCATGGCCATGGGATGTCCCTCAAAAAACCTTCACCACACCCCCTAGAAGCTGCCCTGTGGGGGTATCCCAACCCAACGGGGCATTGGAGTCCTCCAGGGGCAGTTGATGGTTGTGTTCTCCACCAGGGAGGATCTGGATGGTCAAAGGGTCATGTGGGTCACCCAGGGTCCTCCGTGAGATGCCCAAGCCCCTCATGGACTATCCAAACCAACTAAGTGCCACCCAATCCTCATCATGGGCCACCCAAGGTCCCCCTTGAGATGCTCAAGCTCCTCATGGACTATCCAAATCACCCAAATGCCACGCAGTCTCCGTCATGGGCCACCCAAGGTCGCCTGTGAGATGCCCAGGCACCTCATGGACTATTCAAATCACCTAAGACCCACTCAATCTCCACCACGGGCCACCCAATCTCCATCACGGGCCACCTCAAGGGCCACCTAAACCACCTCCAAGGCCCAGCCAATACCCCCAGAGACCCCCCCAGACAGTGGGGACACACTCACGGTGCCCATGCAAGTGTCCTTGACGTCAACCCAGACGGAGTCGGCAACAATCTCCCCGGGCATCACGTAGTAGTAGGCCACGATGCGGAAGGAGGGGATGAGATCGACCGTCACCGGCAGTGACATCGTGACCAGGCTCTGACCGGCCTCGTGCCGCTGTCGCCCCACTTGGACGATGCGTCCTTTGCTCATGATCTGCGGCGGGTAAGGAGAGGTGGGGTTGGTGGACATCTGGCCACCTCCGTCCCCAAGACGTGGGGAGCGGTTGGTCGGCCTCTGCCGACGGCGCTCACCAAGTAGGTGAAGTACGGGACGGAGTCGCGGACGGCGTTGCTGTTGCTCTTGAGGTGGAAGTTGACGGCGAGGTTGTCACCAGGCTGGACCTCGGTGGCCCCCACGGCCAGGTGGAGGAGGTTGCCGGAACCGCTTTGGCTGCGGTAAGCTTCGGCGGTCATCTGCCGCGAGGCTTGGCGGTCGGGAGGTAGCCCCGCCTGCTCCGTCCGCACCTGCGACACGGGTGGTATGGTGGCACTCGGTCAACAGGGAGAGGCATGGACCTGGGCACAGGGTCATCATGGAGGTCTTGGCTGTCTTGGTCTCCCAGACACCTGCTGCCCTGGTCCTTGGTCGAAGGTGATCACCTCCTTGGTCAACCTGATCATCTCTGCTACCCTGGATGTCTTGGCCACTGGAGTTAACTCAGCCATCTAGGTCTCCCTGCCATTGGTGTTCCTGGCCCTTGGCTACCCTGAACATCTTGGCCACGCCCATTCCCCTGACCTTGGCCATTGCAGTTCTTGGTCACTGGTGACCCATGCTGACCCTAGCTGTAGACCACCATGGACAACTTGGCCACTATGGACATCTCCACCAGCCTCCCTGACACTGGCCATCCTGGTCCTTGATCCCTCAAGATGTCTTGGTCAACCCAATTGGGTAGGCCACCGTGGCTGGTCCCTGACACCAGCCATCTTGCTTCTTGGTCAACGGTGACCAGGATAACCCTGGTCCTCGGTCACTCTAGGCATCCTGATCACCACAGTCATCTCAGCCATGCTGGTTTCCCTGATCTTGGCCATCATGGTCTTTGGTCAATGGTAATTGGAGTGGCCCTGACCCTTGGCCATCATGGATGTCTAGGTCATCTTGGTCCCCTGATGCTGCTGTCCTGGCCCTTGGTCAATGGTGACCATGCTGCCCATGGTCCTTGGTCACTCTGGGCATCTCAGCCACCTCGGTTGTCTCAGCAACCCCGACTCCCAGGTGACTTCAACCACCTTTGTCCCCGGCCACCTTGGCCAACCCAGTCCCTATCCCCACTCACAGTGATGGGGACGGTGTCCTTGTTGGCCGGCATGTTGAGGACCAGCTTGGCCGTGCCATCACGCTGGGTGGAGACGAGACCTTGGAAGCCATCAGCCTTGACGGTGACACGCGAAGCCGGGGACTCATCGGGGTTAGTGACGTAGACCTGGGGGGGACGCAGTGTGACATGGGGACACGGCGTGAGGGACATGTCACCTGGTGCCACCCAGGTGCCACCGGGACAGACCATGGTCCCCAGACGCCGTTACCGTCAGATCGAAGGGCATCCCCGGCTTGAAGTACTTGGGGGTGTGGGTGAAGTGGATGGTGTACGGGGACGTCACGATTGCGCTGTGCCCCCCCCATGTCGCTGCCTGTGGTGACCACAGGAACGGCCAGGTCACCCAGTGCCAGGACAGGGCTCCCAGTCCCTCCCAGGGACAACCTCGTCTGACCTTGGGTGGCCCTAGATGTCCCCAACCCCATATCTCTCCATCCTTGCTGTCCTCGACCCCATGTGTCACTGCTGTCCCCATCCACCTACGTCCCCAAGTGTCTCCTCACCTACCCAACGTGTTGAAGACCACGACAGAGACGTGGAGCCCATGGCCTCGCACGTCCCCCGTGCCCACCGTGGTCCCCCTGCGCACCTGACTCGGTGAGAACGGTGACGGAGACGTAGAGTGAG